CCTAGTCCCCCAAACAGGCCATTACCTGCCCAAGGCCACAGAGTTATTGAGTGACAGACCGGGACTCAGTCCCAGACAACAACTTCTCTTCCCACCTCCCTTCCCTGCCTCCCCTCCTCCCTCCTTCCCTGGTTTGGATGGGGAGAGACATAGCAGAGGCAGGGAGACTCCTTTTGAGGCTGTGGCAATGGTTCAGTGACCTGGATGACAGCCATCCTCTGGGGATGCCATTTACTGAGTGCCCACTGTGTGCTTGGCACGGGGCTGACTGCTCAATAGGCAGGCACTTAACCCTCACCCAGGTGCCATTATCTTGTTGTGCAGAGGAGGACGTAGAGGTTTGCAGAGGTTAAAAACTTGCCCCGAGTCAGGCAGCCACAGTGGCCCAGATGGGATTTGGGTTCAGAGTCTGTTTGGAGCTCTGGGTGTCAACCACTGTGCCGCGGATCCAGGGCACTGGGCTACTCCCAGCGGTGAGAGATCAGACATGGCGCATGGGATAGAGGGAGAGGTGGGGCTGGGTTTCCAGTTCAAGGCAGAGGTGCAGCAATGTCACTCGTCAAGACCGGGAACAGCAGAAGAGAAAGTGTTTCGAGAATGGAGATGAATTATGTTTTTTGGAACCGTGTGCCCAAGTCATCTTTGGGACACTGTCATGCTGTCCAGCCGGCATTTGGCATATGTGACTCCACCGCTTAGAAATTCTTTCTTTCTTTCTTTCTTTCTTTCTTTCTTTCTTTCTTTCTTTCTTTCTTTCTTTCTTTCTTTCTTTCTTTCTTTCTTTCTTTCCTTTCTTTCTTTCTTTCTTTCTTTCTCTTTCTTTCTTTCTTTCTTTCTTTCTTTCTTTCTTTCTTTCTTTCTTTCTCTTCCTTTCTTTCTTCCTTTTTTTCTTTCTTTCTTCTTTCTTTCTTTCTTTCTTTCTTTCTCTCCTCTCTCTCTCTTTCTTTCAATGTTTTTTATTGATTTCAGAGAGGAAGGGGAATGGAGAGGGAGAGAGAAACATTGATGTGAGAAATACCGATGGGTTGACTCCTGCAGGCCCTCTACTGGGGATCAAGCCCACAACCTGGGCATGTGCCCTGACCAGGAATCGAACCAGCAAATCCTTGGTGCATGAGACGATGCTTAATCAACTGAGCCACACTGGCCAGGGCTCTCCTCATATGTTGTTTATGTGGAAGTTATCATCACAGAAGTGCTAATTAATGCTATTGGTGTCAAAGCATCCCAGGGACAGCGGGGTACAGAGAAGGCTGCCCGGGACGTAGGAAGCATCAATATTTAATGGTCTCACTGAAGTCAAAGGATGCTGTTTGCTGGTGCTTGGCACAGGGCGTGGTATGTGCTTGGCAGGGCCTTGGGAGGGAGGAATAATCGGAGGAAAGGCTCATGATGTGGGAGGGTCGCTGAGTGGAGTCCATCAGTAGGGAGTGAACAAACATTTATAAGGCGTGCCAGGCCCTGGGCCAGGTGATGAGAAACGATGCTGATCCTGCCCTCAGGGGCCCATGGCTTGTCTGACAAACGTGGGAGACGGAGAAGTGCAGTGTGTGATAAGTATGGTGCAATTCCGCTTAAGTGGCTTTCCAGGAAATCTGGGACAGCTAGAATATGTAGTTGAGAATATGATGTTGCAGTGGTAGTTTCAAGAAAAGCAAATTCAATCTTTCAAAGACCGTATAAGAGACGACACTGTCTAATTTTTCTATGAAAGTCTGAAAGCAGAGTCTGAAGGCCCAAGGAGAGACTTTCATACGGCAGGATAGTAAGCCACACCCTACCTCTGCTCTTTCACGGTCCCAAACACACCCAGATGGTCATCCTGGAGGCAGGGCTTCAGTGGAAGCCAGATGGCCACCCGTTCTCTACCGACGGTCACCAGCTCTATAGGGATGGTCACCACTTCCATAACCTTGGCTCACTGTACTCCATATTCATTGCCAAGTATGCACCGAGCAGCTTCCTGGTGCCCCAGGCACAGGTCTAGGCACCGATTGGGAAGAGAGCACATGAGACAGACAAGTCCTTGCTGTTCTGGAGCTTGCATGTTGGTGGGGGATACACACCCAGAGCGTGAAGCAGGCACGTTTCTTCATGATGCCTCTGAGGGAAGCACCAGGGAGTGAGGAGGTGCTGCCTGGGGATGAAGAGCGGACCACAGACAGGGTGGTGAGGAACGGCCACTCTCAGGAGTGATTTTTGAACTAAGATCAAAATGACGACCAGAAGCTAATGTCCATCAGAGGAAGCACCAGTGCAAAGGGCAGTGGGACGGCCAGCAAGGGCCAGGCGGCGCAAACCAGGCTGAGAGGCAGAGGGGGCAGTGAGTGGGGCCTGGGAAGCCACGGGAAGGAGTTTGGACTTTACTCGAGGTGCGGTGCAAAGTTACTCTCATGAAGAAAATTACTTCTTAAAGACAAGTATCAGAGTAGAATAATGAAGAAGAACGAAAGGTATCTGATAATTATTCATATTCAATCAACTTTATTTACATAGATAAAACCTAAAGGAGAAATCAATCTGCACATTTTGTGTTTGTATTGTCACTGATGTTAAAAAGAATAATGGAAATAAAAATCAGTGAGAGCAAAAAGAGAATTTAGTAAGTAAATCTTTTCTAGAAAGATGCTAGAAGTCATTATTCCTAGCAAAGAATTTTATATATCTATATATATCTATACTAGTAGCCCTGAGCACAAATCTGTGCATCAGTAGCTTGTCCCGCCCCCCCCACCCCCTGCCTCCCGTCCCCTGTTACCCCCCTCATAGCTTGCTGCCTTGCCCCCTCCAATAGCTCTCCGCCGCCTGCTTGTAGCTTGCTGCCCACCCTCCTGCTGATCCATGATCTGGTCGTTATGCAGTCGGTTGTTACGCTTCATGGCGTAACGACCACTTGCATACAATGCATCTTTATTATATAGGATATAAGCTCTCTGATGACATAAGACAGTATTTTGTGAAGTTGTAAGAAAAGTCAGTATCACTTGTCAATTACTATCTTTTGCACAGGCAACCACAACTGCTAAGGTTACCAGAACAAGAAATCCCTGGTGTCTATTACACAGAGCTTTTAACAGAACTTGCCTTGACAGTTTATTCCTAATCATCTCCCCCAGCTTAATACAATATTGCCACTTAACTTCATGACTCACATAGCTGTTTCAGGCACTACTTGGGGAATAAGTTTTAAGAGTTCAAGTAAATGCAAATGATGTTTTGCTACCTTTCCTCAAAAGATTTCATGTTAGAACGTAGACTATAACATTAAACTGTATTATGTGTATATAGCACCTACAGATGTACATAACTTGGCATCTTTTGCAAGTACATAAGATAAACCTCAGTGTTTGCCTTATCCCTCTATCAGGGATCCACAATCTCGTAATGCTGAAAAACACACGCTATTATGAAATGTCTATCTGCTTGTTCCATAAAGTTTACTGGATTCACCCCACCCATTTTCCAACCTCGGGAGAAACATCACTGAAGACGAGAGATAAACTTATTTATCGTAAAAAGTGAAGCAGTCCGATGATCATCTCCCCACTGGGCCCGCAAAGAGTCTTGGCCATCCAATTTGAGATCACTTTAAACGACCTTCCCTTTTGGCAGCCCCTTGTCTTCCCCCCAATTACGATGACTAATTGGAAGGGGGCGCATTCGGGTGGCACGCCTTGCTGGAGAGAATGCCAAGTTCCCTACCCCTGGGGCAGGAACTGTAAACAGGAAGTGCGGAGTCATCTGACAGCGTTTACCGCTGTGGGCAGAGCTGTGTCCTGTGGCCCATTATAGTTCAATTCTGCTTTCCCATCTCCTCCAGTGAAAATTCTTCCTCTGCGTCTGGGACAGGCTTTGCCACCACGAACCTGGTGCAATTCAGAGAAGGGGCTCTGTGAACCCGGATGAAGTCCCAGGTCCTCCAGCTAACACTGGGCTCTTGCCCAGGAGAGATGGTCAAAGGTGCCAAATATGGTAGTGTTGCCAAGGGCAGACCTGGTACATTTTTTTAAAAAATTGATTCTACAGAGTGAGGAACGGAGATGGAGATAGAGAAACATCAGTCAGCAGCCGCCTGTATGACCCCCACTGGGGACTGAGCCGGAAACCTGGGCATGTGCCCGACCACAAATTGAACTGGTGATCTCTTGGTACATGGAGTGACGCCCAACCAACTGAGCCACTGTCACCATTAAAAGCATTTTCCAGGAAAGAGAGGACAGTGTTGAGCACAGGCTTAGCAGTGGGGCTGCTAGCTTCTTGGTCCGTCCTTCCCCTCGGAAGAGCTGTGTGACCTCGGCCAAGCGGCACGGCCTCTCTGAGCCAAAGCCCTTCACACAGCGTGTAGAACAGAAGAAACACTCCAACACCATGCATGTATGACCAGGAGCGTTTTCTTGTTTTTCACAGTAGAAGGCACTTGTTTATCATCCCTTTTTTAAGAAAAAGGAATAAGTGGATGCATTGGCACTTACCTATTTTCAGGATGATACGTGTTTATTTACAAAATCACTTCCTAACGTCTTCCTGAACCTCTCACCATGAGAATATTGCTGTTTGGTTACTTTAAAAATGGTGAAGGTTTCGCAGGATTCCCTATTGTTAGCACATTCTTGCTGTGTTTTGAGTCAGTTCTTTTACTTATTAGGTTTTTGGGAGGGAGGCTTAGTAAATTTAATTTCTGCTGCTTTTAATTACCTCCGTATCCTCCGCCAAAACTCCGGTGCCACAGTCCAGAGCGTTTGCACCCGTGATGCCACAGAGACGCTGGGTCAGCCCCTGTGCTTCCCTCTCCCCTCCCAGGAGCCCACGCCTGCGTTTATGGGCCGGGCACACGATCCTGGTAGCTAATCCTCAGTGTTCCCGCCTCCCAGGCCCCACACGTGTGGCTGTTAGTTACGCCACTTACTGAGTTTCCTCTTCCTGAACTCATCTCCGCACCTGTTGTGAAGAAAAATGAATACAAAGCAAGAATGCAGCAAAATCCCCAAACAAGGGCATTCTAATTTTGAACATTTTTAATTTTCCTGGGCCACGTAACAATGAGCTAGTGTGTCACCGATCTATAGTACAATTAACTTCTTGTCTTTTGCTCCTTATGAATTTACATATCCAATTATCTTTCTATTTACTTTCTCATGGTTTTGCTACGTTGACTAACACTTTTTAACAAGAGTCTTAATGGGTTTTGCAGTTCATTTGTAAGCAGCGGGTTGTTGAAGGCATTTCGGGGTGAGGGAGTGCTACTGCGTGACGCTGTGGGGTGTTCCTGGCAGGACTGGGAGAACCCATGTTCCCTGCCCATCAGGACATCTGCAGAGCAGACCATGTGGATGAAATAGCACAGTGTCAGGAGCTGCGGAGAAGACGCAGCAAAGCAGACGGCATGGAAACAGCCGATTTTCACCATCCTCGCTCGCCTGCTCTGGGGCAGTGAATCAAAGGCGGCGCCAATTCCATTAAAGCGGCTGGAAGCAGTTTTTGCCCCACCGAAATTTCTGCTTTGATTCTTTTGAGAACTCTTGTCTCAATTCCCACTTTTCCTGTCAACGTCAACACAGTGAAGCGTCTCAGGAGTGGAGAGTCATTCTGATCGCATGAGGACAGCAACCTGTGGAGTTCCTGCAGCATCCAGTGTGAACGGCATAAACTCAGAACGTGCGCCAGGCGACTTTAGGGCTCTGGTCCTGGCCTCTTGGATGAGACTTTTGTGGATGGCTAATGTATGTGCAAAGGTGACTTTTCTAGTCACCAAGAAGGCAAACTCAGCTCTGACTTGTACCGTCTGCATCACCAGCACAGGCCTCGGCATCTGACAGCTCCGTGTGGAAATGAGCGCCTGCACAGCTCTGGTAGGAGGAGAGTTGTCTGCTTTGTTAGGAGGGAGAGGAGATGACCTTCCTGTTGCCAAGTGTCGGAGCCATGACTACAGTTTAACTGATCAGATGCAGTTTGTTCGAGGATTACCCAAGATTACACTTGGATACCAGTTGGGATTGAGGTCCACAGGTAGACACTCACCATAAACTGCGAGAAAACAATTTGATTTAACAACAGAGAATCTGAGATAGTTGAGAAACACATCATTAGGAAAGGTTATTCACACACTCATACAGAGATATTCCAGCATCATTTATTCTCTTACTCCCAGGCTCCAACCCTCCTCCAGCCCCTTCTCTTTCTTAAAGGGAAGGCAGTTCTACTTCAAATGTAATTCAGAATAGGACCCAGCTCTCTGATTTATGCAAAGGACATAAATTCACAAATCTGCCTGGATACTTCTTTATTCAGAAGCTGCTGTTTCTGGCAAAATTAAAAGACAGTGGAAGTGACTGGGTCATAACGGCCATCACTTTTCCTTCATTAAGTCCATCAGGTCACCTTCTATTCCCCTCTCGCTCAGCTCGTCCAAACTGTAGTACCGATGAATGATCTTCTCAGCGGTGACCACCACGACTCGGACCCCGTGGGTGTCTTTGCCCAGCTGGCACCCGATGGCAGATGACACCACGACATCGAGGTTCCGGTAGGTACCCCCAGCATTCCTGTGGTAGTGGCCCGTGAACACAGCTTTGATACCTGCAGGGAAGGGAAAAAACATTAGGGGGCCAAGGATTTCCATTTAGGTAACTTAGGGCTCCAATGTTTTCTTGTTGGAACAGTAATATATTATTATATTACACACATACTATTATTCAGTGTATAATAATTAAGAGGCAGCATATGTGACATCCAGAATCTTCAAGGATAGCTCATATATACAACTAGAGGCCCGATGCATGAAATTCGTGCAAGGGGCTGGGTCTTCACAGCTACGGTGGCTTGCCTCAGCTCTCGCAGCCCTGGCTTCGTCCAGAAGGTCATCTGAAAGGTCATCTGGAAGGCTGTTCAGCCATCCGGTCTAATTAGCATATTATGCTTTTATTATTATAGAGGTTATCATGTTTGTCCTAACAACTGGTCCAGGAAAGTATTAGGGAAAAACAGACAAGGAACAGAAGGTGAATGATGGGGAGAGATGACGAAGGCTGAAGGAAATCTTTTGAGGGCATTATGAGAGCCATACGATCGAAGTTACATGTCTATGAAAAATAATGTCGATGGAGTTCTGGTCAAGATGGAAACAGCATGTTCAATATTTAATGTACATCTTCCCACCTCAAGCTTAAAGCAATGATGGATAACACATAAAAGAGAAAACCGAAGGACAGAGGCAACCTCAGCATCCAAACGAATAATGCCATGGACCTGACACAAAGCAGGAAGGCCGAGCCATGAGTGGGGTACTTTGCTTCTGGGAGGTAAGCACTTATGGTGAGATAACCGGGACGGAAAGCTCTTTCTGAGAGGAGGAAATGAAGCTGACCCCCATTTGAAATGAGGTGGCGGGAGTGCCTGTTTACGGGAGGAGACTGAAGAAAACTGCTGTTGCCTGTTGCCCGGTGCCCGGGGCCAGGGCAATGCTGTGCTGGTATGTTAAACAAGTATTTCGTACACGTGCACACACATACAAAAATTATCTGATTTGTAATGTTTCCTAATCTCCATGGTTTGAACACTCTTATCATGGCCATTTTCAAATGACCAACATGATGTTGTTGAACCGGAGCGGGAAGAGATGCCTCGAGCACCATGCTATAGTGTTTCCACTACACGGACACAAATACTGCAACCTTTAGAGCATGGATATTAGAAATGTATGACAAGATAATTAGAAAATGCTGTTTTGAGTGTTTATTACCTTTACTGTTTAATATAATTTACTTAATGGTGAGTTCATATAATTAAACAATGGCTGTTTAACAATCAGCTCACGAGATTCCTTAAAATTTAATCATTGATTTTTGTGAGCTGATAGGAGCTGTCTCTAGCACACCACAGGGCTAGGGCTCATAGCAGCCTGTGGGTCTAGGAAGCAAGACACAGGCTCAAGTCTAGGAACTGAAACGCATTTTCCCAATAAATCACTATATTATAAGGCCTGGTCCTGGATGGTGGCTGGGGTGGAAGTAACCGAAACCATAGACAGGGAGAAGTTATTCAAGAGAGAAAGTAAGAGAAAAACAAAACCAAGAAATCTCTTACTCAAACTGAACCTGAAATTAAAAAATTCCACCACCCATGAAGAAATCTCATGCTAAGTAAGATGGTCTACAAACTCTTCAATTAGGAACACAAATTCATTCCAGATTAAATCGATATAAAACTGCCTGGGAAATATTTTAAATAAATGGGCTAATTAAGTAAAGGACCAATATCCATACTTGTTATGAAGCAAAACAGGCATAAATTGAATGAGAATAGTTGATAATGAAAATTTAGAAACGGTGGACATAAAAGACATTAAAATTTAAAACAAAAGCAACTCTCAACAAATGGCATACATTCTAGACTTGGCTCTAATCAAAGATCTCATGTGATATTAGTGAATTAAAAGGTAGAATTGAGGAACTGAACTGAAGACGACACGGAGACCCAGTCACAAGTGATATGAACAAGCAGTTCAAAGAACCCGAAAGATAGATTACGAGGTATCAGTGGGTTCTCAAAAGAAACTGAACAGGGGGAACGAGTAAATAGTAGTAAGACTAATTTGAAGAAATAATAGCTGAGAGCTTTTCATATCAAGTAAAATTGTAGAGCATGAAAGAGAAAAAAGCACAAGATAACAGGGTAAAGTATTACAAAGGAATGACAATTAGATAGGGGCATCTGAGCAATAACAGAATCAAGGCATTATATCTTCAAAATGTTGAGGGCAAATAACTACACACCTCAAATTTTATACCTAGCTAAACCATCATTAAAGTTTAAGGGCAAAATAAATACATGTTTGGACACATAAAGACTAAAAGTTTACCACTTCCAAACCTTCATTAAGAAGACATAAATAAATGGAAGGCTATACCCACTTGTGGAATGAAAGGATTAATATTGTTAAAATGTCTTTACTACCTAAAGCAATATATAGATTCAATATAATCCCTATTAAAATACAAGTGGCATTCTTCTCAGAATTAGAATAACTAATCCTAAAATTTATATGACACCACAACAGACCCTGAATAGCCAAAGAAATTTTGAGAAAGAACAAAGTGGGAGGTATGATGCTCCTTGATATCAAACTATACTATATCACTACAATAATCAGAACAGCATGGTACTGGCATAAAAACAGATATACAGATCAATGGACTAGGAAAGAGAGCCTAGAAATAAATCCTTGCTTATATGGACAATTAATCTATGACAACAGAGGTAAGGATATTCAATGGGGTAAAGACAGTCTCTTCATTAAGCGACTTTGGGAAAACTAGACAGATACACGCAAAAAAAAAAAAAAGAAAGAAAAGAAAAGAAATTAAGAAACTAGATCACCTTCTTATACCATATAAAAAATAAACAGAAAATAAATGAAGGACTTAAATGTAAGACCTGAAACGCTAAAATTCCTAGAAGAAAACATAGGCAGTAAACTCTCTCACATCACTCATAGCAGCATTTTTTTTTTTGATATGTCTCATCAAGCAAAGAAAACAAAAGAATAAAAAAACAAAGGGGACTTCATCACACTAAAATGTTTTTGCACAGTGAAGGAAACCATCAAAAAAACAAAAAAACAACCTACTGAATTTAAGAAGACAGTTGTCAATGACACATCAGATAAGGGGTTAATATTCAAAATATAGGAACAACTCATACAACTTAACACTAAAAAAAAAAAAAAATCAAATCCAATTAAAAAATGGAAAGTGTACCTCAACAGACATTTCTCCCAAGAGGACACACAATGGCCAACAAATGAAAAGATGCTCAGCATCACTAATCATCAGGGAAATGCAAATTAAAACCACAAGGTATCAGTCTCACACTGGTCAGAATGGCTATCATCAATTAATCAACAAATCAGTGTTAGCACGATGTGGAGAGGGAACCCTCAGACACTGTTGTGGTTGGGATTGTAAACTGGTACAACCACTGTAGAAACGGTACAAAGATTCCTCAAAAAATTAAAAATAGAGCTGCTATATGATCCATCAATTCTACTTCTGGGTATTTATTCAAAGAAACAAAAACACCTAATCAAAAAGATATATGCATCCCTACATTTATTACAGTATTACCAGTAATAGCCAAGATATGAAAGCAACCTAGATGTCCATCAATAGATGAATGGATAAAGAAAACGTGGATGTACATGCAAGGAAATATTATTCAGATATATAAAAAGAATGAAATTTATCATTTGAGATAGCATGGCTGGACCTAGAGAGTATTATGCTAAGTGAAATAAATCAAACAGAGAAAGACAAACACCACATGATTTTACTTATATGTGGAATCCAAAATAAAATAAATGGACAAAAGAGAAACAGACCCATAGATATAGGGAACAAGCTGATGGTTGCCAAAGAGTAAGAGAAGTGAAGGAATGGGAATACAAAAAAGATGCATCTCATGTAAATATAATGAATTTGCTTTCATAAAAAATTTTAAAAATTGGGGGAGACCAAGATGGCGGCATAGGTAAACACCGGAGACTGCTGCCGCAAACAACCACTTCAAAAATACAACTAAAAGATGGAACGGATATCACCCAGAACCACAGGAAGGCTGGCTGAGGAGAGACTCTTCAACTAGAAGGAAAGACAACAGCATACCTAGGCTCAGAGGAGGCGCAGTGTGGAAAATACTCAGGTGCGGAGGTGCGCGCGCAAAGCGGGCTGGTGGCTGAGAGCGCGGTTGTCGTTTTCGGTCAGGGGGGAGTCTCAGACTCTGAGCTCCAGATACGGGCGAATCGCTGGGGACTCGGACCCAAACGGGAGAAGCGGGAGTGTCTGGCATCAGTTGGAAGGCAGCTTTCTCTCCGAGGTTTGCAGCGGTTCCTGGGGTTCTGAGAAGCAGAGCCTCTGGGAACGGGGCTGAGGGCAGCCATAACTGCTCCCTCCGCCCGCCCGTCCTGTTGGTCCCGCCCCGCCCAAGCCCTGCGCAGAGCCATTTGCCGGATCGCCTCAGGCAAAGGCTAGATTAGCACCTCCCCAGAGGACAGAAGTTTTCCGCGGCAGACACAGCTGATTCACACAGCCAGTCGGCCTGGTGGTCAAATCCCTCTAGTATTAACTACAACAATCAAGGCTCAACTAGAACAAGACTGCGCACAAAGACCACTAGGGGGTGCACCAAGAAAGCATAAAAAATGCGGAGACAAAAAAACATGACAGAAATGGAGGATATAGAGCTAAAAATCGCAATTTTGAGGGCTTGCAAAAATGTGCTAGAAGCTGTCAATAAACTTGAGGAGAGAGTCACGAAAACTAATGAGACCCTCGATGCTATGATAAAGAACCAACTAGAAATTAAGCATACACGGACTGAAATAAAGAATATTATACAGACACCCAATAGCAGACCAGAGGAGCGCAAGAATCAAGTCAAAGATTTGAAATGCGAAGAAGCAAAAAACACCCAACCGGAAAAGCAAAATGAAAAAAGAATCCGAAAATATGAAGATAGTGTAAGGAGCCTCTGGGACAGCTTCAAGCGTACAAACATCAGAATAATTGGGGTGCCAGAAGATG